ACAGGCTCTTTGCTAAAGTGTGAAAGCATCTTCAGGGAGAATAAATAAAACTGAAGGATTCTTTTAATTAAAGCACTAAAATCATAGCAATAGCCAACTGGAAATCACCTCCTGAGAAATTCCAGTAGAAACAGGTTGCTGTTTCTAAACAAGGCTATTAACTACTGAAGCTACTCATGGCACTGCTAGATGAGTTGGAGTTTCCAGTGCTGTGGAATGTCCAGGAGGCATTCAGATTATTTGCTTTCCTAAAGGGGTACCCAGGAAAAAGTCTTGTATTGGGAATCCAAATTAAATAGTGCAATGTGGATTTTTGCCTTTAATTATTAATCTCTGAGAAGATGTAAGCAAGACATCCTTGCTACTCTTCCTTCTTTCTACCCTCCTCCTCCTCTCTGGAGGTGAGGGATAACAGACTCTTTCAGTGTAGGAACTTCTTTGAAAGCTGGCCTTCTGCTTGACTATTTTAAGCCAAAGCTGGAGGTGCTGATTGCTGCTAAAAGGGGTTAAAGGGTGAACAGATAATGTTTCAGTAGCAGCTTCAGTGGTTTTAACATACTATTCTAAGTGTGTCAGGGCCCTTGCTATCTTTGCTGTCCTTCAGATAAAACCAAGTTTGTCTAGGCAAACTTAAATAGTAATAAATGTCTGTATGTGTTTTGGGGCTACTGAACTGAGCTCTATGTACCTCTGTAGAGTGAACCAGGCAATTTTCTAGGTTCCTAGCATGAGTTTTGGTGTTCATTTCTAGGCTTTTAAATGTAGGTGAATTCCAACCTTGGTGTCTAAGAAGACATCTATTTTAAGGAGCTCAGATGGCTGACTTTTGCAGCAATAAAGACCATCTCCAGAATGTACTTAATCTCCTTAGGTTATAATTTCTTCTACCTCTTTTTATCAAGTACTCTGTGATGCCCATTGCTGTCCACTGGATTGTAGAAAGCGTTAGTGATTAGCTGGTGCAGTGCTGTGTTTTGGCCTTAGACTGAGAACAATGCTGGTAACACACCAATGTTTTAGTTGCTCAGTAGCACTTACCTTGATGAAGGACTTTTTAGTCTCATGCTCTGCCAGTGAGGAGGGGCACAAGAAGCCGGGAGGAAGCAGAGACATGACACCTGAGGGGTGTTCCATACCACAGCATGTCATGCCCAGTATAGAAACTGTGGGGAGTTGCCTGGAAGGGACCGAGCACTGCTTGAGTCGGGCTGGGTATCGGTCAGCGGGTGGTGAGCAATTGTATTGTGCAATGCTCCTGTTTATTCCTTACTCTCTTTATTTACTATAATTATTATCGCTATTGTTATTCTATTATTATAATATTTCATTTCAATCATTAAAGTGTTCTTGTCTCAACCCACTTTTTTTTTTTTTTTCCAGTTCTCCTCCCCATCCCACTGGGGAGTGGGGGAGTGAGCAAGTGGCTGTGTGGTGCTTAGTTGCTGCCTGGGTTTAAACCATGACATCTGGACTTGCTCCAGCAGCTATGTCCTTATGTTGAGGGCTCCAGAGCTGGATGCAGTGGGGTCTCACCAGAGCAGAGTAGAGGGACAGAATCCCCTCCCTTGACCTGCTGGCCATGCTTCTCTTGATTGCAGCCAAGGACGTGGCGCACTGCTGGGTCATGTTGAGCTTCTCATCACTCAACACCCTCAAGTCCTTCTCCTCGGGGCTATGCTCAATCTGTTTTCCACCCAGCCTGTATTTGTGCTTAGGATTGCCCCAAGGATTGCAGGACCTTGCACATGACCTTGTTGAACTTCATGGGGTTATATGTACTATCTGGAATTATAACCATGTTAATTCTGATATTTCTTGCTTTAAAAAGGATAAGTTAGAGTAATAATAGGAATTCAGTCATGAAGTAAAAAATAAACCTTGAAAATAAGGAGTTCTGTTGCTCATGTTCTTTGTCCTTATATGAATTTTGCTGCTTATGGTTATGTTGCTATATGTATTTCTGCAAAGCAAGTAATCAGTATGATGGGATGTCTCCCCCGGGTACAGGTGGTAAGGGACACAACTTGAATTACAGAACTAACAGCAGAAAGTATTGCTAACTACCACATTAATTCAACACCTAGATTTGGGAGCAGAGGAATTTGGGGAATGGATTCTATTGCTGATTTCTCTGTTTTGTAGTCTTCTATTCTTATAGCGGTAGAGCTGGGCCTGATGCTTAGAGGGCTTTGTTTTCCCAGTGGAGATCGGAGCAGAGTGGTGCCGAGACTTTTTAGTGCCCTCCTGCCTCATGCAATGTCTTTCCTCTCACTTCTCTGCAGGACAGAAGTCCCATTTCACTGGACACAAGTGCACAGAGCTGCTCTGCCCTGTTCCTTTGCTGGAGCAGAGCATTTTCAGCTGGGGAGTAGGGAGGGAGCAGCACAGGACACTCATGTTCCAGGCCACAATGTCAACACCTCAGTTTTGATCTTGTTTGTTGGCACATAACTTTTGAACCATGGCACCAAAATTACTTCTGTCATCCCTGAAGATGAAATGTAAGGGTTGTAAACCAGCGGTGGGTTCATATAACATGACTTGAAAAGCACCTGATTTTCACCTGGATAAATTCATAAGTGTGGTCAAGTTTACTCTGGGGCTTTATCACCCTGTCACAAGAGTGAAGTCTGTATCCTGGAGCTGAATGGGTCTTTTCTTTGCTCTTGGAGGAGGCAGAGGAAAGGAGTTTTCCTTCACATTTCTGACTAATAAAATCCACATCAATTGTATTTATTTATTTTTAAATAATACTCAAACATTACTCTCTTATTCCTTATTTTGCCTGTGATATTTTATACCCTCCAGCAGGTGCTGCTGCTTCCTGCTGATGTCGTCATTGTGCAGGAAAAAAAAAGTCAGTCATTTGATTTAACACTATGCAACTGGACTTTGTTCTTTGTTTTTCATCATGAATATATCTGTGTTCTCTTTTCTTCATTAAGTTATTTGCCAGAAGAGTGACTAAGGAGGGAATTTTTACAATCCCAGCATACTTAATCCTGCAAGAGCACTTTGTAAGAAGGGTTGAAGATCAAGGGAGTTGCTTATCAAGGCATGTTCAGAGCAAGTTGAACATATGCAGTTATTTTATTTCTAAAATGCATTTTATTTCTAAAAATGTGAAGAAATGCAAGTGTTTTCTTAAAAGTAAAAAATACTCATTAAAGAAATAATAACATTGTCTAGTTGTGTCATTTGCTTTCTTAAGTTTCTTGAGCTTTAGTAATTTAAGCTCATGATTTTAAGTCGTTTTTATCATTAATAGCTGGTCTTGAATGCTTCAAGTTTGCAGTGCAGATGACACAGCACACATTTCAGAATCTCTTATTTGGCTGAATTAGGTAAGAAAACATAAAGAGGAGATGTGATTGGTTCTGTCTACTGACAGACTGCCTGTGCCAGGCAGGAATTTGCAGGTAATAATAGTTGAAATTAAGCCTTGATATGGGTTAGGTATCCCTAGAGCTCTTGAGGTGCCCTCATGAGCTAAGACATCTCCTTGATCTCCAATACTTACCTGCGTCTTTGTACTGTGTTGCTTGTTGTGACTATGCTTTTGGCACTTTTGGGGTTATCTAGGAGCAGCTGCTGTTCTACAGTGTGAAGCAGCATGTGTTCCCCTGGTTGTTCTGTTTGGAGATGGCTGGAATTACAATCATTCTCTTTAATCTCTCTTCTATGTTTCTTTTACAAATCCAGCCTCACTGTGGCAGTACCTCTTAGGAAGTTACAAGGATGGGTCAGGAGGAAAACACTTTTATTTTACCTTCTCAACCCCAAAAGGTTCAATATAATTGGATCCTAACAATTCTTGTAATAATCTATATAATCCAGATGTATTAAACATCTAGATAAGAAGTCAATAAGGTCTGAAGTTCTCATAACTTTGATAAATTCAGATTTGGATTTGTAATGATTTTCAGCTCCACTGATTTCAGATGCTCTGGAATCTGTATCTGTCATTAATAAGGATGCTAATGCTGGAAGTATTCCTCTGCTTCAGATTCTGTGGAGTTTTCTGTGTGTCTCCATTCTTTAGAGAAAAGGAACTGCATGGCCAAGGAGGCTGATTATATTGCTGAAGTCAAGCAGCATTAACCCAACTTTGGCAGCTTGGGTCTATGTCGTATGACATGGAGATGTATAACCTGAATGTGATTACAAGTAATTGATAAATTAAGTATGCATAATAATAGTTAATGCTTATTCAGTGCTTTTCCCCCGCTCCTAGATTCCAGGGGAGCTCATAAGACTTTTTACAGTCTTGGCCATAGTTTATAGATGAGAGGATGAAGCTGTTAAATGTGGAGTCATTCAAGGTCAAGTGAGCCAGTGTCGAAACTGGAAGGAGTTCAAGACTGATGCCTTTTTCTCATGGATATACCAGTTTATAATTTTCTTGTACTTGTAGGGTTTTTTATAAATTATTGTGATTTGCTGATAATGCTGTAAGTAACCAGTGAAACATTGCAGATGATTGCTTGTTTTGTTGAGGCAGTTTCGCCTTGCTTTTCCTTGAAGCTAGGCTTTTGTGGGTTGAAAATATGAGTAAATGGGTGAAGTCTGCATTTCCTCCTCTTTACACAGAACGTGCATAAGATCACCAGTAAAACTGTTTTTGACTTTCTGTGAAAGAATACATATTTCTTTACGATAGCTTTGTAGTACTGATAGGTGCTTCAGCTGTTTGTCACTGTACTTGGCCAGGCTGTATCTGGATGAACAACAAATGATTCCAGCTCCTACGATATAGTTACCAGCGGTCAGATCAACAAAGGGGTTAAAAGTGAGACAGCCTATCTTTTGCTTCAGTGGAAGTGTAGTTGTTGATTTATAGCTCTCAGTAAATGATTGTTGGAGGTCTGCCATGTGTAGCAGAGCATTCAGAAAGCACACCACAGACTCTGCTTCCTCCTGAAGAGTGTTTGTCAACATCTCACTTTAACTGCAGTCTTTTAAGGTACCAGCAGGCAGGCAAAACTCACCAGCCAGCAGTCATGGAAGATCAGGTCTTTACCAATGTTTATCAAAATGTTAACACTACCAATATCTATGACATTCAGGACTCTAAAGAAGACAAAAGGGATAATCTTTATGATCATGCCCATGAAGATCCAGCATCTCCTTCTTCAATCACTACTCTCCCAGAGAGCATGGATAGTAGTCCGGACAGCTCAGAAGATAGCTGTAGTAATTCTGTGGCCTCTCAGCATAGAGCTGATGGGGAGGATGGTTCTTCTTCACCTTACCATGGTGCTGAAGAAGACCACCCATACCAGGAGATGGATCTGATGAGCCCAACTCTGGAAGATAAAGACGTAGAGGGCATGATGTTTAAGAGGAATGTGCATTTTCCTGCGGATTTCCAGTTGCGTCGGACCCGGAACACTTCTTCCAACTCTCCAACTTCCCTCAAGTTTCCTCTTAACAATAACTTTGGAGAAACTGACAACTTTCAGGAAGATTGTGAGATTTTCATGTTTGTAAAGGTAAGAGCTTGAGTGCTTCTAAGAACACACCAATTTTAAACCCCAAATCAATGTATGTGTCCTCCAAATCAGTAAAATACATCTACCCACTGCTTTGTTCCCAACTCTGCTGCCTGTGTCCTGCAGGGACCAATCCATTCACTTACCTCTTACATCTTAAGGTACAGAAAGAGAAGATTTGTGTTGTGTGGAGATGCCTGAGATTTCTTTACTTCAAGTGAAAGTCTGAATGTGGTGAAAATATTCTGATTGTTGCTGCAATTCATTTATTCTGTGAACTCTCCCTTCTCTTACAGCTGGGCTACTACTACTTGGTTCATTTAAGCTAGTTCAGATATCCCTGAATTTCACTATTTAGCTAGTAGCTATAGCTCAAAAGTTAGTAATGCTATGATGAAAATTAAATATATGATTTAGATAATGGCAATAAAATTTCCACAAATGCTCATCCCTGAACATCTTTCTTCTATTTCTTTCAATATTCAGATTAATGTGTTTCTGCGACAATTTTAGCATGGGTTTTTTTTTTTTTTTACTTATTTCAAGTTAGGTAGAAATTACTGAGGGGACTTTCATGCTTTCTCTAAAAAGTATTTTGTAAATACTTGTATTTGTAAAGTATAACTTAAGTTGCTAAACTATAAACACCTGTGTTCTTAAATAAACACTATACTTCCCTTCATAAAAGCTCTTGTATTCAGCTATTCCCAGTATTTATTAGGCCATAATATAAACCTGGCAGTTCCGTCTTTTTAACTACATGAGAGAAATTTTCAAGTTCTTGTTTCCATTGAACAGCACCATCCATTGTGAATGTAATGCTGTTATTTCTACAGAAGTCTTGTGAAGTTCATAACTTCTTAACATAAATGAGGTTATCAGAATCGGTTCCTTAGTTTCTCTGACAGGTGCTTTGAAAGCAGGCTGAGAGATTTCATTGCCACACATACAGAGAAGTGTTTTCAGCAATGCCTGTACTTGATTAGTTTAGTTTAGTTTTTTTAAATGAGCACACTATAACATTTGCATTGGTACGAAATGCTGATTGTTTCATGTGAGCGAGGGGAGAGCAGATGGTGTGGTGGACTCTCCTAATACTTCATTTGATTTCTCTTGTAAACCTTGGATTTCTTGGAAAACAGAGTTAAAAAGTTATCCAACATTTACGTGTAGGAGAGTGCTTCCAGAAAGTGTCAACCAAATCTTGGGATTCTCCCAAATGCATTAAGAAAGTTATGATTTAAATGTTTTTCCTTTCTGTCATTTATTCCTGTAGATGACGGGATGCCTACTTCCTGAAGTGTTTAAGGCCAGGTGGGATGGGCTTTGAGCAACCTGCCCACGTCAGAGGGGTTGCAACTGGATGATCTATAAGGTCCCTTCCAACCCAAACCATTCTATGATTCTATGAAAAGTTGATGTTGTTCCCCCTTCACATCTCCCTTCTCTATGTGACAGTCCTTCATGACAGCTTTAGTAGTTTTTGTATAAAGGTAGATAAATTATTGATAAATTAAAAACAAAACAAACACACTAAACCAAACAATCAACCAACTAGCCAGAAATGGCTGTAAGGTTACTCAGTCTTATTCTGCGTAAGACAAACTGTACAACTTCAGCCATTTTTCTTGAATTTCAGTATAACTGCAGTTAATCCAGTAGAAACGTGAGCATCCTTCAGGAGAGGGAGTATCTACTAATTGCTGGATCATGAACTGTTCAGGGTCCATGCTTACTGCCACAAGGGGGTTTTGCTACTGGTTTCTGTAGAAGTGGGCTACGAGAGCCATACATGAGGGCAGTTGGCCTTTTTATCTTTATAACACTTATACCAAATGACTCTTTGAAGCAGCAGCTGTCCTATTTTTGTGACTGAATCATGGTTGTTGCTAAAATTACATTAATTATTTGGACAAAGTAAGATCTATGGTGTTGGTTCTAGTTCATATCCCTGCTTGTAGTCCTGCATACATGTTTGAGATGTCATAGTGATTGAGCGTATTTTGTTTGTTAGCAACTACATGGTGTTAGCAATGGGAGTGTTGCATATGGCTTTAAAATACTTTCTCTCTATTCCTTATTCTTCCACATTCCTCTTGTTTCAGAATAACGATGTCCTCTCTTTTTATGCATGAGAAAAGAAAATGAGTGTGGATGTTCCTATTCAAGCAGAGATGATGGGTTAATTTAAATTTCTGAAAGGTGAGGAATATTTTGAAAAGAACAGTCCTGGGAAGGATTGAGGAAGTCTTCTTCCTTGTTTTTGTTGTGCAGAGTAGCTGAGTATCTCAAAAAGGGGCTTATCAGCAGCTCTAGAAAGAAATGCAAACTTTGAATTCTACTCACTTGCCAAAACATAAGTGCCTAGCGCCTTCAAGATGTCCTTGAGCCCCAGAACATCCCTACCTGGCTGGAAGATGAGACATGAGGCTTCCAGGTAATCCTCCCATAGGAGCTGGAGGCCAGATGGGCAGGGCAGTGGATACTGCCGTGCAGGTGGCTGACCTGAACTGCTGTGACAGCTTTTTATTCCTTGAGAAATTGATGACATTTCAGTTTGGATTTTTGCTTTTCTTTCTTTCTGGTATCAAGGTAATAAAGCACTAACTCCATGGAGTGCAGATCCAGCTCTGCTATCTGTAGTTATCTAGATAGCAAAACTCAGCCTATAAAACAGAAGGTCGTAGAGTAATATATAACAACAGTTGTGAAATACCTGAGGGCTATTGCTTCTTGCATGTAGGAACCAAATCTCTCAGTTATGTCAATGCCTGTTCTTCGTAGATTGTTCCTTTCTCCAATGGTCTCTAGTCCACCTGAAGCCAGTGTGGCTCTGAAATTGGGTTCAGTTTCTGGATTTGCTCTTTTCCGCAGACATTAACAGTGACAGGAGGACCTTTTCCTGTGGGACAATAGTGGTAATGACAATTGCCACTATTTATTTCTTCCTTTGTTTGTAGCACTAATTAATCTCTGTGAGTGGCTGGAAACGTGAGTGTCTGACAGAGGTCGCTGCTGACTGAAAACCAGAGGAAGTGGGAGGTTAAATGGCATCTGATTTACAGTCTAGCTGGCTTAGTTGCAGTGCACTGCCTAGGATAGAATTTCAACTTCATCAGGATATTGTGTTGTTGCAATAGGACCATAATTTCAGTGAGACCGGATAATCTTTTCTGTACCCATTCTGTGTTATTAGACATCAAGAAAACATTTAAATATCATTAATTCATCTTTCACTGGTGATCAGTACTTGATAACTATGTCATTGTCAGTTGGACTATTTCAGGATGTGCTATAAGATAAAAAATCTTGGCTTTCACGAAGGAATTTCCTTACCTTTAACAGCAAAATATAGCACTTACTAACATGGAGATGCTTGTGTGAATCCAGCATGTCCAGGCTTGTAACAGCCACCTTAATGCCCTCTCAGTAACCTTGTAATTTCTTCAAACAAAAGCCTTTGCAATGTAAATGGAAATATGACTGACAGGTATGTTACTGAGTGCAGAGGACAGCTTGACCTGATTGTACCTGTTGCTCAGAGGTCCAGCCTTTTCACTTGTAGGCTGCATTTCCCTGTTTAGCCATGTCTGTGTTCTGATGGGTGAGTTTCTTTAAATAACAACTCAAGCTTCAAGACAAAAAATTAATGTTTTCAAAGAATAGTCCCTCTATTTTCTTTTCAGAAGAAAATTACTGCCCTTCTGGTTTATTAATGTCCTTCAGATTATACCCTGTCTGTACACATTTGTGCCATTGGAGCACACTTCCCTGAAGGAAGGTAATTCTTCACCCCAAACAATAAACACCTTGTGTTGTGCAAACACTACCAATTTAATGCAGTCATTTAGCATTGTGAACATGCACGTTGTATCTCTGCACTGGGGTAACAGAGTTATGGATGCTGGAAGGCACCTCTGGAGATCATGTATTCCAACCCCTTACTCAGAGCAGGATTACCTAGAGCAGGTTTCTCAGGGCCATGTCTGGTCAGGCTGTGAATATTTCCAAAGGTGAGGAATCCACAGCTTCTCTGTGCAGCCATTCCTGCGTCCTACCCTCGTGGTGAAAATGGCTGATGCCAGGTGGCAGGTGTAACTCTATGTCTACATAAAATCATAGTAATTTGCCTTTTTATGCCATTTTAAGAATATTTTTTATAGTAAATCCAGTGGAAGTAAGCAAATATTACTTTGGTCTTATGAATAAGCTTAGAAAAAGGTTAAATGATTCATTATCTACCTTTTTAAAAGTGTTAACTCAGTGACTTAAGCAAGGAAGAGATCCAACAACTATTTTCAGTGTTCTCCACTCATGGCAGATTTACAGACTAAGATGCAACATGCTTAAGTTAGTACATGCACAGAAGAAATAACTAATGGGGAGCCAATATCCTAATGTGATAGGATGTTGTCTTTTTTGATAATTTAAATGAAATTAACAGATGTTTTTTTCTGAAAATAGTCTTACTAAAGACCATTTACAAGTACAATTAAGTATAGAAATACAAGCCTGGAATATCAAGTGATGTGTTTTCCTGCTCTCAGTCTTATCTAAACTATCCGTAGCAGATGCTTCTTTGAAAACACTCAGTGATGCAGATTGAGCACTTACCCCAATTAGTCTCTGTCAATGCTTAATTATTCTCCTGGGACAGAAATTTTCCTTTGTTAAAATTCTGTTGCTCAGCACTATGCTATTTTTCTACTTTAATAGATAGTTCCTTTCTGTATTAGAAGACATTTCAAATTTCCTTCAGTCTTTGCATTCCTAGACTAAACAAATTCAATTATTTCAGCCTGTCTTCAAGCTTGAGTCATCATTTCTAAACTTGAGTGGGTTGGGGTGTTGTGGGTTCTTTTGGTTTAGGGTGGGTTTTGTTGTTTTTTGGTTTGGGGTTTTTTTTTGTCCTTTTCCAGTCTCTCTCCAGTTAACATATATTTCTTAAGCTCCAGTTTTCAGGTATAGGTAGTGTATTTAGCAGTGCCCATAAAAATTAC